ATCAGATAGCCTGCGTAGGAGCCAGTTTCGTCGACCTTTGGCGTCATGAACGCAACGACGAAACCGCTAGGGGACAATGAAATACTTCACCTTGTTACCTGGGCCGCGTCGGCCAGCTTTTCCCTGGGCATCACCTGTTCGAAGCGACCTGTGACGCCTGGCGTCCGTTTCCGAGAACAGTGAATCATTCCGCGCTTCCTGGCTTTAATCAAACTTTCCAGCGAGCAACGATCGTTATCGCGGTGCGAGCCGCGTCAGCGTGCTCCTACCAAGAAATGGGGCGAGAACGGTTTAATGGTTAACAGGTACAAATTTCTCCCATTAAAGTGAAATTCCCGCGCAACGCGGCAACACAATCGATACGCATTCTTCTTTTAATCAGCCAGAGAAACGAACTTACTCCCCGCGCGCATGCGCTACAGAAACAGGGGGAAAATTTTATTGCAATAATGCATGACGAATAATAGCTTCGTACAGCAATTTATTCGCGACGTTTATTCCAGAAAATGATTGCTCGAATAATGGAAAAATTGAATTGGTATATTTTTTGGGATGAAAACAATTCATGTATATGATTATTCGGTAACGTTATTCGAGTGATAAATAACGAATAAGACCAACGAATAACAATTTATTCGCCACGTTAATTCGATGGAATGATTCTTTGGATAATGATATATTGAATTAGTATTTCTTGGGGATAAGAACAATTCATACATGTAATTATTCAGCAACGTTATTCGAGTGATAAATGACGAATAAGAGTTACCATTAATTTATTCGTCATATTTATTTGATGGAATGATTGCTCAAGTAATGTTGCTCGATATAAAATATCGATTCATCTCAAATAATTAACCGACTTCGAAAAGGAGGAGGTTACTCGAATCGACATGTATATTTTTTTTTGTCGAATTGCAATTTTCATTTGCCATTATAAATTCTAATCCACATTAGAAGAGTGACCATATCTGTAGGACGGCCACGAACGGAGCCTCTAAGCTTCGGTGCGCTATTAGATGCAAATGGGGATCGTAAAATTGTTTACTTAGGAAGATATACTGCCCCGAGTAATTAGCGGATGAGTCCAATGAGATAATCAACGCCTCGAAAGCTATTCATACAGCGCTAACCAGAAATTCAAGAAGAATCTAACGCCATTAATCTCTTAACGCGTAGCGTGCCATATGCGGCACGCACCAGTTCTGATTACTTTATTTATTAAGCCTTCTGGTTCAAAGAAAATTGTCTGCATATTTGGACGTATCGCATTATGCGCCGCGATAAATTTACCGCGCAATTTGCGTTTAAACGAAGACGGAAATTAATGGCAGTGGATGTAGTCGTAACTAGCAATTTGTTACGCTCGTACGTTTCGACCTTACGTTTGTGGAGCATACACAAAACTATCGTAATAGAATAATCTAAATTGAAGAAAACACAGAAGAAAAAAAATGTAACGAGTACCTTTTGTGGAGGTATACTTTTTTGTACTGTTCTTAGCTGGAACAGAGTTTATTTGGTACGTAGCTCCGTAAAGGGTTGAAGTAGAACACGGAGAGCTGAAAGGGCAGCTCGCGAAAGTGTTTTTAAAGCGTGATGGTATGGTATAGAAGTAATTTCGCTCCCTCGAGATAACAGCGACGACACGGCTCGCATTTTTCAATTTCACATTTACTGTACCTCACAACGCACTCGACGCTATTGTCTCGAACAACGTTCGAGGTATGCGTCGCGCAAACAAATACTCTGCACAGAATTATCTGTTACTCATTAGAGTCAGGGCAGATAAACTCTAATACTTTTTTAATTTCCGTTAAATATTTTATTCCTGAACACTCTGCGTGAACTGGAAAACGAACGAGTGGAGGAACGCGTGGCCCTAATCGGGCTCTTGCAACTTTTGTTGTGAAACATTCCTTTATAGGAAGTGGGGAAACATTTTTCCATTCTATGAAATAGTATAACGCAAACTGACTTTTGTACCTTTATTTTAATACCACGAGTAAGTGTTGTACTAAAAATGTTGCTATACTCAAACATTTTCAAAATTGCGTGAGGTTTATTGGTTCCATAATAATGTTTACGTAGTTTCACCTAAATATAAAATTCAAATTTGGTTACAGAGATAGTTGAATTATTATTCATTGGTTCCCCTAGATCTTTGATCGAAAGAGTATTAACCATGGTACCTTCGTCCAAGCCTAATTTCTATGTATACATATATAGTGAAAGAGCTAAGAAATATTTCTGTTTATATTCTGTATAATTATCCACGTCTTCCAACATTAAAAATTATCTTCCACACCTGTCCTCTTAGAGGTGGCGCTCCGGTTTGAAGAGCAGTACTTTAGAGAACGTCATCTCAAGCAATTCATCCTTAATTAACCCTAAAAAATCATAGTCATACCCTTCGACTTCCACGACACTTTTCCATTGACGATCAATTTGAAAATAGAGAACAAATATAAAAACAATATATACATGAAAAAGAAAACGATGAAACGAAGAATGGAGTCAGGAGCGAATAGAAGATACGACGAGGTTGGGCAGGGGAACAAGGAAAGCTGGATTTTGGTGAATCGGTGGAAAACTGAACACAAAATGGCACAGCTTTCCTCGTCACCCAAGGGGTACTGTGCCCGGGACGCGTTCCCGTTGTTTTACATGGCGGGGATCCCCAGGAGGCCTACACCATGCCACACGGTCCGTCCCGTGTGGAGAACACAAGAATGGGAAGATAGAGAAAAAGAAAAACAGAAAAATTTGGGGATTCGTGGAAAGAGAAGTGTATAAATCCTTAAGCCATCAGTCTCGTGGATGTATGCAAATCTCGTAAGAAGTTCGTCAATCCGATATGAAATCTTAACCTTTAAACGGCCACGGACGATATCGGCGTGTGTAACGGGCGGGCACCTCGACGCTCCTCGAATACCGATAACATTAGCCACCATTTTAGAGGTGAAAGTGTTTAAACGCACGCCAACGAAATTTTCCTGGCTCTGTTACGCGCCCCCACGTGCGGCAGTGCACTTTCTACGATGCACCGCACGAATCCTTAATGGGCTCATCGAACGAGTCGAAGATCGTTCAATTGGTCCAACGGTGACCCCCCCGATCGATTATCGGTATTCTCCGCGATCACGGTGCACCCTGCCACATGGCGGAATAAAATAATAAAGATCTCGATTGAATCTCTGGACGTAAGAGCGAAACTTTTGGACCATCCGAATCTCGATAGCTCCGAGGATAGTTCATCGGAGAAATGCAGCGGCAAAGTATCAATTTAACGCGGGGGAAGACGATTAACTACCGCGAAAACAATGACGTTTACTCCGTCGATACTGTCGTCGCGGTGGAGGACGCCTCGTTCGGCACCGAGATCGTCTGTGTGTACCGAGAGAAACTTAAACGCTAAACGCCAGCGGATACTGCTGGCGTGTGCCTTACTGTTTAACCACTTAACCGACTACCTGCTCGTATACCTCTTCGATGGAATCGAAATCGAATGGAAAACGAAGGTGCCACTAAACACGTTCCGATCCCGAGGTGCGCGACACACCGATCACCGGAACTCAAGAGGTGGCCACGTTACGGAAACAGGATCTTTTATACCCTGGAAATTATTGATCTCCCACGCCCGGCCAGGCGGCCGCACGTGCGCAGGTCCTGGCGTCGCGGCGCACGAGCACCACCGCCGTCGGGCCAGGGTGAAATAAATAACATTCGAAGGAAAGACCCTTTCTCCTGACGTGGCCGTTTGGAAAGGTCGTGAACCATGGAGAACCCGTAAGAGGCGACGACTACCACAGGGGGTGGGAATCGCGTCTATTTACTGTTGGACGAAACAATTTTTAAGAAACCTCCGGAGTCTGTATCAAGGCAGGGAACGAATCGGGGGGCGTGTGCACTGATTGATGCGGTAAGGTAAACATAAGATAGCGAAGAAGTAAATCGAGGGGGTAAAACTTCCAGCCCTTGAAAGCCACTTTTGAAACTTGAGGATAAAGCGAGTTTCTGAATTGCAAGGAAAGTTTCGGTATACGCTGGTGAAAATGGGAAGTGAATAGGATAGACTGTTACTCAATTAGGAGTTCTAGTTTCATGAACTAAAGGATACTGATATAGATCAAATATCATAGGCTACTACACGAGTAGCATTTGATCTTCCTCTCTGTTGTACCGACAGATGGTATACCAACTGCGAATAAACTCTAGTTTTATAGAGCTCCTGTCTGAAATAAGAAACAATTTCGAATAACTATTAAATAGTAAGCAACTTACGTCTACAAGTAGAAGAGATGATCTCTAAGTAACTTTGGTGTAATAGTAGAATTACTCTTGCCGACCTCCTGTACACCGAATTCGTTAGCGTTCTCTCCCAGCAGATGCCAGCACCAACCGTTTCTTTCATCTGTAACTGCAGTTTTGTTTACGTGATTACTATGGATACGAGATTCCCATGACCCATGGAGCCAGTTGTGCAGCGGTTTAAGCGAGTTGAAGAAGACTTTACATGCCAACGCCATCATTCGACCGATGCATTAAAGGAAACAGCGCAAAATTTAAAAAATGTGGTTTATAGGAGACTAAAAGAATAGTGTAACATAATGTATTATTATACAATGTAGTAGTTATATAATAGGAATTGCTTGTATGATGGTTGAAATTGAAAAAAGTTAATCTGAACGAATTAAATTCATGAAAATAGTGAAATAAATATATTGATGAATATGCTATGGCTATTGTTGTGGCTATGAGCGCGAAATCATAAATATATTTGTCCTTATTATTTATATATTGTCTATACTTTTCTATTGTCTTTATATATTGTCCTAATGAATATATTTGTAAAATTATCCAGGGCTAATTAAGATATAACCCTTTTTATATACAGGCTGACATCACTGAAGGGAAAGGAAGTAAAGTACATCGGTCGAATGATGATGGCGCACCATGTCAAAGCCACGTTCAATTCGCTTCAAGCATCCCCAATTCCCCAATCCATAGTACATATACATATCAGTGGATCTAGTAAGTGATCAAGTAAGTGACGTGCATTGTGCGTAGTTGACGATAGTGAAGGGCATACATAGCAATTATGAATAGTATTCCTGTACAATTGGGAACACTATTCAGGTCATAGCGATCGATAACCAAGCAGTGAAGAAATTTAAGTGAATCGAACTTTTTAAGCGAGATACGATGAGGAGAGTACAGACTAATAATCAAACATGGTCGTTCCAGTAAGTAATTTGCATAATCTTTGTAGTGTAGCCAATGAATCCTAGACAGAAGTATCACGCTCAAAGTATGGGATTGGTAACTAACAAGAGCGTAGTTTCCAGTATGTGTTTCTTAATTTTATTCATGATACTTTTTCAGTACAAGTGCAAATGCAAGTTCTAGTAATTTCTGGCCTGAACTTTGTCAGATGAATCAGTTCAAACATTCTGTATGTGAGAAGAAAACAAAGGATACTGGAGAGAGTGACCAGATAATAAATTTGGATGATTTGGAATATCCTGAACTTAATAGCACGACTGTTAGCGACAAGAATGCTGTTGCATTAAAGAAACAGTTTTCGGCGAATCCTACTACAGATCTTGTACCGCTTGCTCAATTCAATGAAGAACCAAAGAGATCAAGAAGGTGTAGAAGAACAGATAAAATCTGTATTAATCTTCGAGATGCTTTGGAAGTAAGTTTATACATAAAATCTTCTTAAAGAATTTTTGCTATTATATCACAAAAATTTATTTGTAGAACACCAGATACACGAATAAAATGAACAACAGAGCACTACCAAAATTTAGGATCAACATTTTTAAGGGAATTTCTGGAGTAACACCGTCAAATATTGTAGACAGAAACAATATTCCTAATTTCAAGAAAGTTAAACTTTCTATTTCCAAAGATTCTAGGTTAAAAAGAATAATTCTGTTAAATCGAAACATGAAAGCACAAACCAATATGTATAAAAGAGAGGCTTTCGAGCGTGAAAAAATACAGGCTATTTATAAAGATATCGATAGTATCAATTTTAATGCCTTAAAAATCACTGCGGATCCTGAAATAGATGTAGATTATGCTAAACGTATGTGTACAATGACGTTGTATGGCAAAGATTTCAGATCTCGAAATGCAGAAAGCATTCCTGAAAGCTCTGTATATTACAGACCAGATGTAATTGAACAGGTAAATAATCTTTGCATTCAAAAGACATTTGTACCAAATAAATTCTTTCAAAGACCTTATCGATTCCACGATGAAAAATCTACGATTCTACGATTCTGCGATGAAAAATCTAAAAGACGTCATCGATTGTACGATGAAAGACCTAAAAGACCTTGCCCATTGTTCGATCATGTAGTTGTAAATGATATTGTAAAACGTACGCTTTCCCTTGAAATAACGGATGATACCGAACATAATATTAAACAAGAGATTAAACAGGAGATTAAACAAGAACCTACAAATAACGAAGAAGATCTTAAACATTATCTAGTATATTCTCGAAATTTTAGAGAGTAAGTACTTTAATTTGTACATGCATGGATGCAGTATGTTCTGTATCTTGCATGTACAGTGCTTAAATATTACTTCGCACTGTAGTATTGTATTATAACATTCATTTCAACATTAATGTATCCTTGAATCCTCAATTTTTATTTACGCAATAAATACTATATTTTCTATTACGAAAATGTATATCAGTTATATTTTCTCATTCTTCCCTATTTCCTTTCCCTATAAGATTAAGGCTCGTTTCAACCATACTCAATGCTGCAGTATTTATTTTCCATGTTCGTACATCTTGCAGATACTGTACGAACATGTTGACACATCACTTGACCAGTAGTTTAGAAATATTTCTGCGAGAAATTACAAGGCTCCAAAAAAGATATCACGAGAAAAATCCGAGCAAATCGAGATACAAACGGCGTTACTATTCTGGTTTGAAGGAAGTACGGAAGCACGTTGAATTGAAGAAGATTAAATTTGTGATCATCGCTCCTGACCTCGAAAAGGTCGAACTCGAAGGTAATTGAAATTTTCGTAGATGATTTAAATAAATTACAACATACTATAGTATATTAGGTTACGGGCCTGGGCCGCATGATGCGCAAAGCGAGAGAGCGCAGAGAGAGTGCAGTTCAGTTGTTTTATGTTACGCAGTTGGAAGAACGCAGTTCTTCTCCTATGCACACTACACGCTGTATTAAATGTATATTTCATCATTTTTACAATACATTGCAGTTTTCTTATGTTCCGTAGACCACTACAATACTTAAGTTCCTGATTACAGGTGGACTAGACGATGAAGTTGCCAAGCTGCTCGATGCATGCAGGATGCAAAACGTCGTTTTCTGTTTCGGTCTTGCACGGCGAAAATTGGGATATTATTCTCATGGAAAAGGATTCGTCGCCTGCATCGGTGTTGCGAATTACAGTGGCGCCGAAGTAAGCATATAATCACGCTTGAAATAACGCACAAAACGAACATCAAATACTTTTATTTTCACATTTCTTCCAGGAACTATTCAGGAACGTCTTGATCCAACTGGTGTACGCCAGGAACGTTTTCAAAAAGCTTCATGGCGCCACAGACGCCATCATCGATATATCGAAACTCGTTTCGGATGATGATCTGCTCTCGGATATTATTACCACTCTTCTAAAAGTTTTGTCTCCCAATTATATACATACCAACGTGTGTTGATTAAAAAAAAAAAAAAACAATTTGTATTTAAAGTTACATTTATTAATATTAATTTCATGTCGTTTGTCAGAATGGTAATTGTAATCCCGGGAATACAGTCGATATATGTATAATCGATCGAATCGATAGAGATTCATTATGTGACGCCAGTGAAGACGGTGCGCAGTTACAATAGAGTTTTCGAATATTCGATACATTTAGTTATGTTTAATCATAATATAATAAGTTTTCTACATACTTGATACTATTGTTGATACTACGAATCTCAGACGAATTACTCATGCTCGAGAAGTATTGTCACAGTTTCGAAACTTTAAACACCGAATTATACGTATCCCAAGGTACACCGATGAAAATACGTATTTAGAAATGCATTGATTGATACTCGTTCCACGTCGTTCGTTAGAGTGGTAATTGCACGTATGGAAATGGATTATGAATCGATATGTAACCAATGGATAATGGGTTTTGTGTAATAACAGCGAATACGATATTCAGTTCTGGTACAATTTTTATACGTTTTATATGTTTGGTTATGTTTGAATAAAACATAAGGTGCTTCCCTGGTATTCATTTGATTTTATCGCTGTGATTTGGACAACAGAAGGAATTTATTATCGAACGTTGAGATGATAACCATCGATCGATGATGCAAACAAATTGAACACAACCTCAAGTATGCGTATCGACCTCACCAGTCACACTGAGCTCGCGAGATAAAACAGATCTACTGTGTACACGTGTTTAACCGTGGGTCGTGAACATGTGGGCCGCGTTCCAATTCTACCGAGGTATGGAAAAGAGGATGTTCGATTTGCCGAGTCTGTTCGTCGATGTTGAACGAGAAATTCCAAGCTAATCGTTCGCTAACGATCTACACGCACGCTTCGCCACTAATCTTCAATATAAATACGATGCATAGAAGGAATTGGTAAGCGGTTCATGTCACGGCTATGCCCTATGAATCGCCGTTATTTGTCGTTAAAATATTGTATTACTGATTATGAATAAAAGTAACACGCGACGTTTTATTTCTAATTTGTATTTAATTTAATGTTTATTTTATTTATAAATTTATATTGCAGTATAGTTTGAAATACTTTGAATCTTGGCCACGAGCGGCGTGCAATGGTTGGCTGCCTCCAAAATCAAAACCAACGCATCAATGTATCTCGGTCAGACACAGATACTTGGCTTAATTAGCGCATCGAAGCGCGCGGAGCATCCACGCGCGATCGTAGGAGGATTAGTATCGATTCTCCATTAATTTTAATGAGAGATGTTAATCGATTCGAGGTGTAACCGCTTTATCGCTTGGCCGCAGTGATCTCAGGACTCGTTGGTATTCAGTTTCTTGCACTTCTTTCGCACGTAACGGGTGGCCTATTTAAAATTACATAATAATAAGATCCTCGTTAGCTTATTTCTTACGAAAATTCTATTAGCTTATTTCTTATTCCGAGATCCTTATTTTTTAGTGCAAGAGAATGTCGAATAATACTTTTTTTGTAGTCTCGTATTCGAGGGAAATCAAGTTTGAATATAATTCGTGGCGACAATAGGTTTTTTCGATGAAGAAGGCTCGCAGGAAGAAAATTCCTGGCATCCTTTCGATTCATTTTTACACGCTGAATCATCTCTTACTGGGTCGAGTCGCTCTTTTGTTAGCAGGGCACCCTATATCGCACGGGCCCCAATTTAACCCAAACATGGAGACCAATATCTCCGCAAGGCTCGGAGTTCCCCATCGAATTCCACGCTTCCACGGGGCAAGACGGCGAACGCTGGAACAGAGATGGGCGTGTTCGAATTGATTTTGTAATCGAAATATGTCTGAAACACTCAACACGAAATTAAAAGGTACGACGTAAACCAATAGATTTTCCCAAAGGTTTTCCCAAGCGGGGCTTCAGAATTTTCTTAACACAAAAATTGTGGACAGTTAAACATCGCTTTCCACTATCGATCCTAATGATATGCACTTAATTTAATATTAAAAAAAAAAAGAAAAACATTACACACCATCCGTGTTTGATTCGAATGAAAAATTATGAAGCTTCCTTTGGGAAATCCTTTATTTATCATTGAGTGGCAAGTATCGTAAGGCCTTTGTTAATTTCATCTGGATGATGCCCATGTCTGGCGTGGAGAGGAACGCACGCGGTCGTGGCGAGGGCCAGAGGAGGCCAACAGCCAGCCACAGGCCCCAGCGGGATGCAGGAGAGGCCGCGGCTGGGAACGGAGCCGTGAGCGAGAGGCTGCGGGGGAAGTGGATGCCAGGCCGCGTGTGTTGATGCAAGTGCGGTGACTGTACGGTGTGCTGACTGGCGGAGTCAGTCAGTCAGTCAGTCAGTCGGCTCGGCACCGGCCGCGACGCACGATCGCGTGGATTTTTCTTGGCTCCGTGTTGGCACGTTGGCCCGTTCGAACGCTCGCGCGCGACGCTCGTTTTACCTGTTGTTTCGTCCGTTCAGTTTTCCCGCGTACGATTTTCCACGCCACGAATTTTGCCGCCCGTGTTGTGCCTCGTCCGGATTAACGGGTCTCGTCGAAATCAGCGCAGGACTTCGACGACCTCGAACTTCCACCAGGTAAGTTCGATCTACACCTTGTAGATTTGTAATGAAATTTTAAATGAATAATGGACGACGAAAGAAGTATTATATTTTTATATTTGAGAGGGTGGTGGAAATTGACAGATACGTTTTTCGGAGCACCGAGCACGTGCTCCAAAATGGACACGTTTGAAAGATCGCGGGGTATCATATTTGGATTTGTGTAATGTATTTGATCACTGGTCGATAGTTCTGAGAGATATCGGAATTGAACGGAGATCGTAAATAAATATGGAAATGATTAGGTTTGGTAGAATTTCGTCGGTGTTTAAGGAAGATTAATGTGACACGGGTATAAAATTTGATTTGATTTCGATATAAAATTTGATTTTAGGAATAAAGAGAAATGAAATTCAGATCGTTTGTTTTTAATTCAGAAGGTAATTGAAAGAATATACTGATAGGTGTAAAGCCTCCGCTCATTCTGTGACGTTTGTTGATTGATTAGCGTCGTTTCTTCGATTGAACAGTTGCACAGATCAGTTTTTATTTGCGCAACGTGAAATATAATTTCATTTTGCAACTCACAGTTTTATTCAACCTGTTGCCAATGGAAAGTAGCGCATCTTCATTCTATTTGGAATTTTAATCTGCATACGAATTTTTGGCCACCTCTGATTTCGAGTGACTCGTTCGTAGAGATATTGTATCGATTTTCAACGAGCTATTATCTATTAACTGAATCGATCTTGCGTTCATTATTTCGCCAATCTTATTGATTTGATATTTCCAATGAATTATGAGAAAGCGTACTTAAGATTATTCATACCTTCTTAAGCGTTGTTGCCAAACAGTGTTTGCCAATTGTAGGAAACGTCCGTTCCACAAGAATGCTCGTTTTCAATAGCAGACAATATTACGGTCGATAATCTCGTTCGCGCATCATCCGACACCGCATAATTTCATTTTTACATTCGCACCCATTGAATAATCCTCTGATAAACAGTGTCATCGTCAGAATCCTGTATTAATTCATAATGACCTTATAAATATTACCATCGAAATAAAATTACAAAATACATTGCATGGGTCTAAAATCAAATACTCCATTAAATCAGAGAATTCATTGAAATAATAAATTATCATTTAAAGCTGCAATCCATTAAATCGACATCAAAGCAGGAAGTGCTTTATATTAGTTCAAAGTTACAGAGTTCGCTAAAACAGTAAACAACTTTATATCGTCGACAAAATAAAATTACAGAATTCGTTAAAATAACACAAGCTTACAGAATTCATTTAATATAAAACTCGCGAAGGTTATTAATTACGAGACAGGAGTAAAATTCTTTAGCAAGGCTTAGTGTCGCCTTCAGCGTCAATTTTTTCGCAAGATTCGAACGCCCCCAAGGATCCTTCGGCATTCCTTTCGAGAAACCGAGCGCCAGAGGTCGCGTGTCAGCGGGGACGCGAGAACGAAAGGAGAAGAACCGTTCCTGCGAAAGAGAATTGACGCAGCGCGTTCCGCGAGTCCGTAATCGACAAGCTGAATTATTTCGATGTACCGTTAGGCGTCAACGATCGACGGGGATCGATGCTCGCGAATTTCGCGGTGGATCGACCCAGACGAGTCCTGTCGACAGCCGCGGCCTGATAACGCAGCCGGACGGGAAAGCTGACTGTTTTTCTATTCGACGGAATTCACTGGCAAACGCGATAATTCGCGAAACCGCAGCTAGGTCGTATAAAAACCAACGAATTTCCATCGAGGTGATTGCGTCGTTCGTTCGTGCCGACTCGGTTTGTTTGTTTTGGTCGCGTAACATCTCGCTAAGCGAGAGTTTCCGTCGACATGACAGTTGGAATCTGTCGCGCGTCGGTTCCTTCGACTTTGAGGTGTCATTGGTTAGAGGACAGCGCGTGTGTCACTTCCTGAACCGTTCTGGATAACGATTGCGATTATCGCGACTCGTCAATTCTAATGATTCAATGCAAATTGAGATAAATATATTATTGTCAGGGGTTCTCCGACTTCAGATTACTGCAGACTTTAGTCTCGAGAGATAGAGCTGCTCGTTTGCATGTTTGTAGGTTATCGGACGGGTGTAAAAGACTTGGGAGTATCAGAAACGAAACTCTGTGTAGTTAGTGTTATTTTCGGCATTCTTGGGTGTCGAGTATTCCTCCCGTCGTAATCGCAGTGTTTGCTCAACTGATAACATTACTCGAGCAGCTATCTTCGTCTTCCTTGAATTCTAGCATCGCAAATAGCAATGTTATCGAATGTTATTGGACCTACTGTTGGTGTACTGTAACCAGGGACATTCTTTTTATGTCTAAATAGAAGGCACGTCGAAGTTCTAAAAGAATTGAACATATTGCTGAATAATGGAGTCGCTGAAACAGTCGACCTTTAACAATTCCGAAGGCTGTATACTAAGTAAAGAACCTATTAGCTTTATCGATCCTAAAGCTTCAGGACTTGATACACGTCATGGGTAGAAATCCAATAGTCACGTTTGTTAAACATATACCTCTACGCTCCTCCACCGAACGCACTGACCGCTCGCAAACGCCCAGAGGACTCAAAGGATTAAAATCGTATTCTATGGATTCCCGTTCGATGTTACCGAATTCTGTTTTTCCCAAATTTTTGTAGCGCAGATTCGATAACCACTGTCATCGAAGCCTCGGTGAAACGAGTTTAAAGCTCACCACTCGCCCAAATCTCTCGTCCTCGTGTGAAAAGCGTCGCGCTGATAAAATCGGCCAACGGGGACAGGACTTCGGCTATTCGACACGTGGGGAAACATTTTCGAGAAATTATCGCTGCCGATCGGTACGCTATTCGTCAGACCTTTGCAACGGCCTTTTGGAGATTAAAAGCGGCCCTGAGAACTTTATCTTCGAGAGGTTCGTATATAAAGACTCGATGTATTAAGGAAAACTTTATTTTAGGGAGTAAGCAGACTGCAAAGGTTAAGAAAATTTGGAAGAAACGCAGGAA